GTCATCAATACGCCAGTCATCGTCTCATCGTTTGCTGTTCAGTGGAAGACGGGAAACTATCAGAAGTATTGTCGTGATTTATTGTTATAACATTTATCCTTCGACCTCGTGTGTAATAACCTTATTGTTGGTTATATGTTGGTGTAAGAATAAAGGATTCTTGAGTCGCCAATCAGTGTTCTGGTTTTCTCATTGGCTAATACAAAGTGTTTCTGAAAATCTTCGAGGGACGGCGTGAGGTCCAGGGTAGGAAGAGCTGGATATGTACGGTTTATGAGACTTGATTTACAGATCTTGCGTTAGTATACTTTATACTATCTTTTAAGTTAAACAAACTTAGCCTCTAAAGATTTTCTGGCAACACAAATTTGGGAAGCAGATCTGTTACAAACTGATTATATGGACTACGATAGTTTGATGTAGACTCGTGAGGAAAATATTACTTTTCTGGGCTTTCAAATTTGATGAGAAGTGGTTTCAAACATGCACCTCTAACAACTTGTTGTCCTTTAAAAATGGTGCCGAGTCAAAAATCACTGAGTCCGGGTTTGCAAACATCTTCTAAACTCGACAAGCCCTAATGACTGATCTTTGGCAGTATAAACTGACAATCAATAGTCAGAGTCTACTGCCAGATAATCTAACAATGAACAAATATGTATTTTGGTATTTGGTAAATATGATATTCGTCCATTAAATAGCTTATTTACACACACCCTGAATATGATTTTTAAGAAGAAAAACAGAAAGTGATCAACAACATGCAACCAGAGACCTTTGAAGGCCGTAAGTTTTACAGACTTCCATGTGCCACGAGGTACGTACGGATCAACAGTAAAGACATTCATAACTAATGACCACAACTTCAGGTCTTCACATTTATTTAGTCAAGACTCGTTTTTTCGGTGAAATAACCTCATCTTACCTCGTGTTCCATCAGTCATGCTTTCACAAATTCAGTATCTTCTTTGAGTGGCTTTATTGCATATCCCCAGTGATTGTAGCGTCAACATCCCTCACTTCGTTGGTTTACTGACAAGTTATGGTTTTTATGTACTTTCAGTATGCTCTCATTTTACTGCGTTAGTGCCCTCATCCGCCTACAATGAGAATTTTCTTTGATTTTTTGAAAATTTTACTGAACTAATAGCTTCACCCTTGGTAATGCAACAAACACTGGAAGAGGATTTAACGCACTGAAATATCGGTATTCGCTAAAAACATAACAGACAGAAATCTGCTGGCAGCTTGTTGCCAATTGTACATTTATGACTCTTTTACCCCCATCTAGTATAAGCTTAGTAACTCTATGACTGAAACGGGGTGAAGTCAGATGTAGTGGTTTATCAGAAGTCGTGAGATAGACAGCCTACGCATGCACCGACACTTGATAGTGAGCCGAAACCATTGATGTTCCAGGAAGCTGATACAGGAACTCAGTAATGCACTTTCGCGACCTTGCAAGTTCACATGTCCATTTTGATTGTCTATTCAAAATCCCTGTTGTGTAAACGTGACATGCAGATCCCGAAATGTAAGTTGCGTTATACAGGATGGAATAGTTGTAGTTGGATTACCCTACATCATTGTTGTGTCTTGGATCTGTATAATATTCTAGCCTACCAATGTTGTTCTTTCCCCTCCCTTTTTTCTCTTCTTTTTGCCACATGTTTGTGTAATTCCAATACTTTACCTGTCCTACAGTAACTACTCTCTTATAACAACCCCATATTTTGTCTTCCTATCTTCTTTAATCCCTTTTCAGTCCCTTGGAACCCCCTTTTATACAATATGTGTTCAGCTTATTGATGGACTGCCCGACGACTCGAAATTCGTAGGTCTCAGAAGCCTCACTATCGCGGTGCAAACCACATGTTCTCCTTAAATAATTTAGTGTTCCATCACGAGCGCTTCAAAGAGAAGAATAACAGCTTGACGTTGTGAAGTTGTGCTGGCAGAAGACAAGAGCCAGGCAAAAGATCGTTTGTTGAGAAAATCGAGAGATATCTATAGATTTTTATGTACACTATTATTCTTTATTGTTAGCAGGGAAGCAACGTTTTCTGTTTGCTTGTTTTCCCGCTGAAGTTTCTTCTGTCATCACTTTGTAGCCGTTTCTTAGACTGTCTTTTGATATATCTGCGAATCGTATCTGCCCACGAGAGGTATGCTGTGACTGGTTGTTGATTTCCCCAAGGTTAAGCGTTGCTCTTGTTTTGTCTCGTGACACCGATTTGAGACGTAAACATTGACGACAATTGTTGTTCACAATTTAGGCTGGCAGATACCTCTCACCACACAGTAACTTCAATTTTGTTGTGATAACCCTCTGGGTTTACTTGAATTCAGTTAACTAACAGTCGAACATTTTTCGCTTTTCATGACTTCTGTCAGGTGTTTTGTAGCGTTGTGTATCTTTAGGTCTGAGTACTTTAGTCACTTTGAACTGACACGAGTCTTTTTGTATCCAAGATAGTGGCTATAAAAACAAGCTAGTATCACAGAGCATTGACAGTAATGACAGTTCTGGAATGAGCCATCAGACTGAGCAGAATTACACTCTCATATAATGAACAACAAAGAGGTGCAGTATGCTCAAAAATCTTCTGTCAAGACACGTTGTAGAACTCAAAGTTCCAAGGAGACAATTAGTGTAGTTGTAATGCCGTCTGATGAGGATACTGCGGTGGATTATGGCCTGTCAAGTTGCCCCTGGTCGTGGCAGGAGCACAGTGGAATTGTAGAGCCCCTAAAGCGTGGTAAGCTATGGCCACTCAGTTGTCTTGATTAACCGGGGAATTCAGGAGGATGAGATCAGTAACCAAGCAGGAACTCTATTTGGTTCATAATTTTTAAGCCCTTCTTTATCCATCGAATTCCGAATCACATTCCGTGTGTATGACTTGGTTTCTCCTGCTCACTCACCCCCAGCCGTACTCTCGAAATTACAGACTCAGAAACACCATTTGTCTTCTGTAATTTCACGAGCTGTCAGTCGGTAGTTTGAATAATTATTCTGATAGAAAAGTCGGTTCCTTAAAAAAAACTAACTCTTCTTCGATAGTCCAAAAAATTCAGAAGGTAAGAAACTACGGAAGGAATAATATCTCTAAGATGGAGATGCAGCTTTCGATTTCTCATTCCAGTTATAGCGTCACTGCCCGGAACTTAGGGGAATATAAAAAGTGGATCCAGCTGTTTGCGATGCACATTATCTGGTGGCATTTGGTTCTATTTATCATGACCTACTTCCCGACATAACAAATGTAGTTCGTGTAAGAAAGGTCGTCAGAATCGGGGGAAGAAATACTGATGCTACGGAAAGTTCTAGGTAAGTGCTGTTTTTGTTTAGTCACTGGGATATCTGAATTGCCACCCGACACACTGCACATCAATTTTTCCAACTCTCACAGTTTTAACGAGTTATGTTTTTGAGTCGCGAACGTAGCTAGACATGTTTGTGGTCAGCTTTCACACTACCGGAAGACATTTCTCGAAGATGGAGGGAAAATGTCACGTGGGATTATCCCATGTTTCAAACAAAACGACATTGCATGATGTACTATATGATGTACTATAGATTGCTACTTTACTTGAAGATCCTGGTTGAGTGGAAATTATTACGCAAGTAAATGTGATGCGAACTCTATACGCTTAGTAAACGTTTATCCCAGAATGAGGCTATTGCTCTTATTAGTAGGTCTACTTAGAAAACTAGAGTCTTTTGCATCAAACCAACGACTATTTGAGTGGTATGGTGTTCAAAAGTCAGTGTTACTCATTTACTGTTAAGTTGGAGTATCACAGGGAACTTTATCAGTCCCCTTCTTATTCTTTTTATGTGTAAATAGACTGCTGAAAACTCTCATCACCTAAAGATTTCGAAAAATTTATATAATGGTGCTGACAGGTCAGTTTTAAAAGGTGATCTAGATGAGTTAACTGAGCGGTTCAGGCTGAGCAGATGGGAAATGAATGGCAAAAAAGGCGCAGTGGCGCACTTTGGTCAGAGGTCTTACACATCGTACTCTCCGAAGGGCACTGTCCAATACCAAAAAGAAAAAAAGCTCACGGATTATTGTCGGTAGTGATTTGAAAATAATGCCATGTCTTAATACGGCTGCAGCCATGGCTTTATGAGTGCTGCTAATACTCCGGAAGGCTTTCAAACAGGCAGATGTGCTTATATCTAAAGTGGTGCAGTCAACATGTGTCAAGCATAACTTAGATTACCGTGTATAAGCGGCCAGTTCTGCTTCAGAAAAGAGACAAGTGCCTTAGAAATAGACGAAAGAACTAGAAGCAAATTAGTTCGACATTCCTTATAGGAAGAGTCTGGAATGTTTAAAAATCATACTGAAGAGAGGGGTTCGACCTCCAATAAATATAATATATATTAAAGGGTGGCTTTGGGATTAGTCTTTCCAAACTTTTTTCCGACTCTAGGATATTTTTGCGGATAAATTATACTAGAAAAACGCAGACAAATTTTTTATTTACACCTTCACACTGTATTTTTTGTACAAGCATGGAATTTTCAGCATGGATATCGGTAGCCCAGATTTCGTAGGCCGACCATTGATATCAATAAGGTGTGTGTCGACAGGGGTCGAACCCTGGACCATGTGCATGATCGGCGAGAGTCCTAACCACTGTGCCACCGACGATGCGTGTTTGTTTAAATTCTGACATAGAAAGGTTAATGATACTAACTCCCGAACCAGTAAAGTAGTATAAATTTCATCATTGATCGCTTTCAAAGAGGAATAAGATCTCTTCAGAGATGTATACTGCAAGGATCAACGAACACCTTAAGGACATACAATCCACCATAATCCGAATTTTGTTGAATACAGAACATTGCCCCAGTCAACAGAAATCTTTGTAATATTATTTTTTAGAGATCTAGAACCGTTTCTAAGCAGGGGTGCTAAAGAATCATGTGTTTCATATCAGCTTGTCTAGCGAATATTGAAAATTGAAGATAGCACCCGCGCCTTACTAAAAGTGTGTTACTCCGGATTTTTGTGTGGTTTTGTCCATTTAGTGTGAGTTTTCCAGATGCTAAACTAGTTTGGTTTTTCCCAGGATTTTTGACGGCCGATTTAAACAGGAAATGTAGAAAGTATATATTTTGTTACCATATGTTCCGTATCTAGTTGTTCGGGATACCATCCACTGCATATGACTAACACGTTTTTCTGTGATCATGATACGGTGTTCGCCACAAAAAATGGTTCATGACTCCCCAATCTTGTCATTTTTTATGATCCGCTGTCTTTACGAAATCCGAGCATCCAATATTTCGGAAACGCTCGCCGCCATTCTTGCAAGAACCATGGTGTTTAAACACCGTCACTTCTTCAACACTCCGCCTTTCTCCTTAGGAGATACCAACTGGTAGGCCAAAGACTTGTTAAATACCTTTCAGAATCTCATTTGATGGTTGTCTAGCCTCCGTTGTGATCACGAATGCTTTATTCTGAGAGTTTTTCCAGTTAGCTATAAATTGAAGATTTTCGTAGAGTGTGATTAGCGTCGAGGGTTAAGGTAGGGTTTAGTGGGAGGTTAAACTTAGGGTGGAAGTATATTTTCTCTTATAATGTCGTATTTCCTTTTTTAGTAAGTGTGGAAATACTAACAATTTAAGCAAGTACGAGCTTTTTGCCAAAAATGTGACGAAAATGTTCAAGTGACGTATAAAGCCTCATGTAGGCCCCTAATAAGATTGTGATTTGGGTAGCATTTAAGTATACGAACTCAGGATCTAACACTGTCGGCTTGAGAATCCTATTGAAACGGCTCATATCCTAGGTAAAGCGGGAGAGATTGATCACTAGATCTTTGTTCGTCTAGTGAATAACCACCTCAGGTAATCGAAATGACCCAGCGCTGAGAATTTGGTTTAAAACAGGAAGTTGAAGTACATAAAGTAAATTAGGAAGTTGTGTGGGTACACTGATATAATTATGGGCACTAATTTGTTATCGAAATGTCATTGTTACTAATATTGAGTCACAGCTTGTTATATCAGATAATTGTATCTTATATGGAATTATTTTATGTGAGTGCCAAAATTCTACTCTTACGTTAGTACTCTGGTTGGGGAAATTCTAGCCGATTATTGGCACCTGTCTTCTTGTAGTAATAAACTGGGATTTCGGAAGGCTTATTAAATACCAGGTGTACTGTATGGTAGTGCACTATCATTCCGCATAACTGCAAAACTTCATATCAAAGCAAACTTTTAATTTGTATTCAGATAGTTCCACCTTCGTATATTTAGCTGTGAGCAGTTTACTTAGGTGCAGTGGTTAGTAAAGGGGTCAGTAGGATTGATTTGCTCATTTACCCTCACCTACTGTGGGTATACTTCCTATTACATTTGCTTTTCTAGTAATATTTCACGACCCTGACTATTAGGCCAGAAGATTTAAATGACGAAATCAAACAAATAAAGGAAATATTACTTATTACTAGTGAATAAATACCCACCAGAATTTATTCAGAAATATATGAAGAACCATAGAGAAACTAAGACTAGCAATAAAAGTGACGAAAATAATTTGGAATTCAAAGCTTCGCTAGCACCGCCGTATAAAGAAGGGATGTCAGAGGTCTTACGTAGAATTCTCAATGACACTGAAATTAGGGTGGCATTTAAATCAACCAACTCTCTCAAAGATAAACTTTGTCGGCTTAAGGACCCAGTAGGTATAATTAAGAAAAGTAATATAATTTACCAAATACCATGTAATGACTGTGAGGTCAATTACATAGGTCAGACTAGTAGATAAGGTTCAGCTAGATTATGGGAACATAAAAGTTTAGCTACACCTAGAATAATTGACGCTGCTAAGTTAAGTAACCTAGAAAAAAGCCCAGTCATTGCACTGCATTCACTTACGTGTAATCACATGATAGAGTAAGCGCGTCAGGATGAGAGTATCAAAAATTAATATAGTTTTGGGGAGAAAGAGAGGCTAATCACTGAAGCTTTGTTTATCGACTCAACACCGCACATGTGCACGCATTGTCTATACCAGAGATACGGAGTGCGGCAACGAACAACAAAGGGAACTTTGTGAGACAGAAAGAGAAAATATATATGATGCAAATTGTGAAACCGTGTGACTAAATTGAAATGATTATGAGCAGTAATGCTCGAAATGTCATCCAATTGTGAATACTGCATCACTGTGTGATTATTAAAATAAACTTATCTATTGTGGAATTGTATTCTACCACAGTGCCCTAGTTCTACACGAAATTAAGTATTTGGAAGTCGATCGCTTAAACCAACTCAACACAGCCTCACTTTACCTCACTTCGAAAAAAGCAGGATTGAGCAGTATTTTATCAGGAAATTAGAGAGTTATCACTGGGATAAGAAAGAAAAACAATAGAATCTGGTACCTTATGAAAGTGTACATTATCCGAGAGTAATCAGTTTAAAGGTGATAGATTCTAAGCGTGAAGTTACTAACACCTATAGTACACAGAATGGGTGTAAAGTTCATGTACTAGTATACTTCTGGCTTTACATGTAAAAGATCTTGCATGAAACCCTTAATTGATTAATAAGAGCTTAATTAACGATGAGTTTATCAAACCGTATAACGCTTACTTTACACTTATCTAACGCTATACTCTTATACAAAAATGCTTTCAGAAGTCTTGTTTTTGCTGCTAGGTATACGTTGGTTGACTTTCATTTAAGCTGTTTGTTTTGGCTTTAAAAAAGAAGCCTGTATCACCAGTCTATTTATTTAATGCAGATAAAGAGGGCATGTACATACGTTAGTGTTTACTAGTATTTACTCGATGTGCTTTTATAGTTTCCAAAAGAAATACTTAACAATTTTTTAACAGCTACTTTTAGACTGTGCTTTAAGTTTCTCTGTCGAATTCCGATTTCACACAGATGCACTTATCAGTGCCGTCTCACATATTGGAATTAGAAATTTGATTTTAATTTATCAAGTATACAGGTTTTTGAAATTTCCAAATATTTACTTGCTGCAGTTTTTTCTATAAACCAGTAGGTTTACTTCATATTTTTGTATAATTTTAGAGAACTTCTTTCGTAATAAGGTTATTTTTAACTTTTAGGCTGTAGTATGATTTTTATAGGCCACCTTTGGTTATGATTCGACGTATCATCGACTCAGTTTCCCTGCTTGTTGACTCGGAGTCTCAAAATAACATGGAATTTTTTAATGATAGAGATCTCAATCCCGATACCTTTGTGGAAAGTGATTCTGATGACAATAACAAGAATGTTCCTGGTGTTTTGTCCAATACGACTTGCTCGTTCACTGATGGTTTAGAATCCTTTTTATCTAACGATTGTTTGAAAGAATGTGCACCTAGTTCGATTACTTTATCAAATTCTAACTCATGTTATATTGCTAATGAGGATGACCTACATCATCAGTTCAGTTCCTCTAGTGATGAAGAAACAGTAGTAACTTTACCAAAGCCTTCAACACGAGATGAATCTCAGTCTCCGGATATGGTTGATCTAAGTTCGATTCCTCTTCGTTCTCTTCCTGGGGGTCCAAGTTTACAACACCAGAGAAGCAGACTCAAATTGAATACTCGGAAAAAAGAAGCTCATAAGTGCCAAAATAACATTAAGTCGTGTCTCACTGCGCCAGCTAGCAGAAAGATGGAGAAAGACAGAAGTGATTTCAAAACAGGTGGTTGTTTCACCCAAGCGGATCCACTAGTAATGGAGCTTGAGTGTCACATTTTGCCGTTTTATCGAAACTTGTCGGAAATTGAATTACGATTGCCTGCCAAATTCGGAGCGAAAATGTATCGTAGTTTACTGAAACAGGTATGTTTTTGTTCATTTCTGTATGTTATTTGTGAAATGAGTAGCGTCATTATAAAATTGGTCAAGGTAATCCAAAATTGTTCAGTAATTACTAGCGGTTTAAGCAATCGATAAATACAGTTAAATTGCAGTTTTATGTTTTTACATAAATTGCCTTAACTAGCTGACTGGTTTCAACAGAACTTTGCACAGAAGTTCAGCAGTTCGAGTTGTCACACTCCATTTAGCAGAAAAAGCAAGAGGGGAGGGGTTTAAAAGAGAGATAAACAGAAGTGTGAGGGAAAAAGCATAGTAATATGGAAGAGCAATAGAGCCTTTTTGGACTAGTGACGGAGAGTGAGTGCATGTACATCACTGAGAATCGTATCCAGTCTTCATTGGTTCTTATCGTCCTGAGTATTCCAACCAGGAAGTCGACAACTTCCTTAAGACTACATGAAACGAATTTAGTGCAAGAGATGCGTATTACTAAACCTAACTGTTAATTCATCTTAAAGTTCACTTAAATCACTGAAGGTTTTTGCTCTAAATCTCTACCTGGCATGGGCTTATACACCACAACCCTTCAGTTTATCTCTTGACTAGTGTAGGTTTTATTACCACCTAATAAAATAGACTTTACTACATAGACATAGTGGAATAAAATTATTCAAATGTTACACAGTTAGTATGAATTTTCACGGTCAAAATTATTTAGTGATGTTAACACGATTCTCGACAAAACCTTGGTCAGAATCACAAGTATGATCTGAAAAAGCTATAGAATACTTAAGAGACTTAAAAATTATTACTTGTCAAAAATAGTATTTCTTAATTTACTATTTGTCAATCCAGTTGTTCATGGCAAAAAGCTGTAGTCAGTTTGCTAGATCATTATATAACCAGGATCTTAAACAAACGAAAAGATAATCTGTTGTAATGGTCAAGCTACTGAGACGGTGGTTCGGTAGATATATTACACTGTATTTATATCTATATATAAGGACTACAAAACTACTTCGAACAAATAAAAATGATTTCACCTAATCAGACTACATGTCTTTGATTTAGCTTGCAGCTGAATATGAATTACTAATTTTATCTATTGGGAAAGACCGATTGCACGATGAATGTCTGGTCGTCCGTAAACGAGGTGCATTACAGCAAAGACAAGAGTTAGAATTGGAGGAACAAAGAGAAAAACAACGTCTAAAGCAACTGAAGGAAAAAGAAGCGGCCAGGGAAGCAGTAGAACAGATTGATAAGGTCAAAATTGGTAAGTTTCGGTAGAGCCTTACAAACGCGCGAATCTCTTTCATTACATGTTGTATACTTATTTATTCAAATTATTATATGATTGTAGCTATTTTCTTGTTTTCATTTGAACCGTACTGCTCTACTGCAATATTTTTTCCGTTGTTTTTATCTTTATTTTGATCAGTTGCTCGTCATCGTTTGACATGATAATCTGTCTCTGCAGTTTTTAGGCGGTAAACACTTTTGTGACCAAAGTTCTCCGATATGAAGTTATACGCAGTTAGGTCAGTTCAGCGTAACATCTAACGCAGCTACTCTGATTCTGTATTTCCTATTAAAGCATGTCACTCTCCATGTTTACTACGTCCGTTGAGGAAAACAAAACAACCGGATGTGATTTATTTTCATCTTCTAGTATTGAGGTTTTACATATCAATAAAGCCCATTATTTATTTATTATTTTATTTATTGTTCCCTTGGGTTCCTAGTGGAACATAGGGCTTCAACTGCACGTCTCCACTTGCTTCTGTCTTCTGCTTCTGGACTTTTCACCCACATCCATGTTAGTCCATACTCTTTCAACTCCTCTTCACACGATCTCCCCATGTCACCCTTGCACTGACGTCCCACTCGCCGCTTCTCTTTCGTGTTCCACTCGAGCAATGGCCTGACGCGCGCGCGATGTCACCCAGCGGTCTCCTCAGCGAGCGAGTGTCCAATCCATCTCCACTTTCTCCTGCATATTTGTTGGTTGGCGATTGGTTCTTGTTTTGTTTGTTCCTTCCCATAGTTTCTTGTTGGTGATTCTTTCCGGTCCGGCCCGGCCCGGCCATCTGATCTTCAGTATAGAGCCAGCGAAGACAGTTGTTGATAAAGGTCTGGTCTGCAACAGGCTGTTGGAAATATTCTTTGTGACTAGCCCGCCAAGTTTCTGACCCGTATAGAAGAACTGACTGACTTGACGTTTGTAGTGAAAATTCGAATTTTATGGGCATTAGAAAAGCCCATAAGGCGTATCAATGTAGGCTAGTGACGACAAACTAGCAACGCCTTATCAACTCTTACAATAGTGTTGGAACGCTGACTTGTTTCTGACTAGTATTGAATTCATGCGTGAAAAGATATTGTCTCGTTTGGCAACCACTGGCCTGAAGCCAAAAATAGATACCAAAACTTGTTTTTCTGTATGGTCAGTGCAGATCACTGGAAGGCTCGTATGCTTTTGGAGTAATTCAGCGGAGTTGTATTATGCTTTATTTTACACAGTTGTATCCAATACTTGTCGGACCTCAGAAACAAGTAGTGCCCAGCCTTTTGATGAAAAGTTGACTTTTATCTACGGAGCTGGTAGTTATTAATGGACTAAGGAGAACAGCAAAAGTCATCCAGAAGAAACTTATTATCCGAGTTATTACCCAGTGTTATGAAAGCAGTAGTAGAGATAGTAGACAATTTGTAGTTAAAGGTCATCCAAGATCGTCCAAGCTGATCTACACAATCTGATACGTAGCTGCTATCTTGACCTAGGGGTTCAGTTTGCATAACGCAGTGACCCGATGAGCTTAACTGGCTGGAACTGGTGTTAGTGCAGGTTCTACCATTCTGTTAATTCGTTCAGATAATGGCTGGACTAAAAAGGGAATTTGCAATTTACACAGTTCGAGAAGGTGAAATTTCGCCACAGTTTCCTTTAGCGCAACCAAGATTATTCGTATTACAGTATGTGGTCGGCTGAGTCATACTGAGGTATCCGGCTGAAAACCTCAGCCCCAAATAAGCAAAATGGCCGTACGGTGTTTAGATCACTTTAATCTAGCTAGTGACCACTGCGGGTTGATGTGAGCGGTTTACGATTACTCATCACTATCAGTAGTATATGGTTTTAAAAATAATGACCATCAGTGTAATTCGCTTATATTATGTTGGCGATTTGAGAGTGATGTTGTACTGCTGGTTTTTAGGGATGTAATAGCAATAAGGTGTTTCCCTCAGACGACCAGCAAGTCAGTCATGATGTCTCATCTCTGGGTAGAAGGAGAAGTTTTACCCTAAGAACTGTACGTCCCTAGTTACCTTACGGTGGTTCTTAGCTGGCGGTGAGTCCCTCTTACGGACTTAACATGAAGTTCAACTGCGAAAAAAACATATGTGACGTACTTCAAGCAGTTGTTTACTGGGCTTTTCGGCCACGTAAAACTAATTCCTTTTGTGTTTCAGGTATCCCAATAATAAATCAACATCCTCGCTGTGGGCAGCTGAGGAGTAATAACCACCCACACACTTCCATAAGCACACAAAGCTGTCCCAATTGTCATTCACCTTCATTTCTCCAAGTTATTTTGCCAACTTTTTGTTGGAGCATTCTGTGCCCGAACTCTGCCCAGTCATACAACTGGCCTTACTAGCGAGAAATGTGGTTTTTCGAGCTATGGGTGTATGTGGTATTTCGGAGACACACATACAAGACGCAGGTGTGATTATTCACCTAAATCCAGTATAGTGAATCTACAGAATTCACCTTACGGGTGTCAAGAGGTTCTTCGGCTGATTCTCATGGACTTGCTGGTGTAGGAATAGCATCGGATGTTAGAGTGAGGAAATGGTTTCTCATCTGGATGTTGTTAGAACTCAGCTACCTGGGACAGATCTTTTATGTATCAAGTTAAGAGCTGATGCTGCTACCCAGTTGCTTAGTCTGAGATAAGTGGATTGGGTCCTAGTGGATAGTCGTATTTGTCCTTCTCGGCTGAATGGTTCCTTTAGAAGAAAGAAAGATTGTGATGTCTGTCAGTGTCTTTTCATATTCTCCGCTTTTGCTCCAACCGGCGACATTTTGGACGAAGTAAAGGATGAATTTTATCAGAGGCTGTCTAGATGGTTTCCCTAACGTAAATCGTGAGTGGTTGCGGCAAATGTGAAAAATCAAGCGCTACGGCTTAAACTCGATTTGCTCGCGCTGGTCTTCAGTTCCAAGTTGGGTGTGCGCTTCACCTGTTGCGCAAGGGTAACTACACTTAGCCGTGCTCCAGTCTAATTGGCAACTGTCCTGGCCGCTAAATTACTTGAATTGGCTAGTAATGCTGCCTGTGACAACAAAAAGACTCATATAATCTCTCCGGACTTGTAACTACTCGTCGGCAGTGATGAGGAACTTCAACGAACTGCCCGATGGTATGACCGTCGTTCAGGGTGGACAAGTAGGAAAGCTGTGTTATTCAGAAAAGTATAGTAGTAGTAGTACCTATAGAGTCTGATGCCGACGAACTGGCAACAATGATCATCTTTTACAATTCCTCGTCAACACTAATTTCAAACACAAGGAGAAGCACTACTCATACTCACACGGTCATGTAAGAGCTTAAGAAGGGTTGTCACCTGACCCTAATTGACTTCAGGGACATGGGAATTAAATCTTTAAGGGGATAAAGTCTTGCCGATTTAGAGTATGCAAACAGTATCGTCATCCTAGGTGCAGACGGTGGGAAAATGCAGACAGACTTGTGAACACGTTGATCAGAAGTCTTAGCATGTTTTGGATGGGATCCGCTTGTGTCAAATGTGAGATGCATTTGAAGAATGGTCTTCACTGACTCCTAGTTAGTTTAATGATATGGAGTGAAATGGTTGGACGTGTTGATGACTTCAGTTAGTTGGGAATTTATGTAAGCCCTATTGGGCTGATTGCAATTAAACCTGCAAACTTTATTCACTGTAGTTTAATCACATTTCATATCTGTCGATTTCCCAATGCCTTGTCGAAATGTGACAGTGCGAACTACTGCGCTCTAGTGCAGAGTTCTACGCTGACAATTCATTTCAGTTTCAAATCTATGCAAACGAACCAATCTCCTGCCGGATGTGAGAATATTGAGGAGCTGACAGTTTCTTGAATAGTGTTTTAGTATTTATAAAAACTATAAATCTTATGCATTTTCTAACTGTAGTGTCTATGTATTTTTTATTTTTATGGAACAGAACTGGAAAAGTCACAGACTGATACTGGACATCAAGAAATATCTTGTCAAGCTAGTTTCGATGAGCAGAAACCTGAGGTAATTAACTGAAAAAACTTTTGTTTTTAAAAGTCTACTACACTTCAAAATGAAGCTGCAAAAGCCAAATTATTTTGGAATATCATACATTTATTCCCCTTAGGGGATTTGAATAAGGCGAGAACTACAGTTTTTGCAGAATAAAGTGGTGGTACCATCATTTATTTCGTGGCCTCATCATCTGCTTACAGGCCACAGTGCGTCGGTGGCACAGTGGTTAAGATTCTCGCCGACCATGCACATGGTCCAAGGTTCGATCCCCCGTCGACGCACACCTGATATCTATGGTTGGCCTGCAAAAATTTGAGCTACCGATATCCATGCTGAAAATTCCATACTTGTACCGAAAAGTACTGTGTGGAATCAAGCTGTAATCAAAAATAAAGAAAATAAAATAAATATTAAGTATATCTACAGAAACAATTTTAACATACTTGCACAGAGTTCATTTTAAACAAAAGTCAATCAATATATGCATTTTTTTCCTTCACGTTCCTCAGTGGAACATAGGACTTCAAGCTAGTGGCTTGAAGTTTCTATAGCAGTGTTTATTTTACAGGATGGGGTTGCTAGCCTCATGTCCAACCTTTCCTCTTTAGCAGCAATTTTTCTGGCTTAGCGAGGTAAAGGAGTGCGTTGACCGGGGATCGAACCTTGGACCATGTGCATGGTCGGCGAGCGTCCTAACCGCTATGCCACCGACGCATATATATATATATATATATATATATATATATATATATATATATATATATATAGGTTGATTTTTGTTTAAAATGAGCTCTCTGCAAGTATGTTAAAATTGTTTCCGTGGATATACTTAATAATGACTGTGGCCTGTAAGCAGTTGATGAGAAGGCCACGAAATAAATGATGGTACCACTGCTTTATTCTGCAAAAACTGTAGTTCTCGCTTTATTTTGGAATAGCTGGTGACTGTATTCTGGTTTTAAAAGTTCCTGATTGTGTAAACTAGGAGATGAAAGATAACTATGGACATATCCATTTCTTTTTTTTCTTCGATTCAGTATATTTTTATTCTTTTATATCATTTTAAAGCAAGGTGAAATTGTGTGTGGATTCCAATGGCATATAGTTCAGTGTGGAATGTTTTCTTTTTTACGGTCCAACACACATACACACTTACAGATTTATACCTTGTAATGTGATAGTAGTAACTTGAATAAGAAATGATACACTGCAATAGCAACAGATACTAAAGAGTCGGAATTAACTACGCCAGCTACAATTAATTTGCGGTAAACCAGTCACATCATCTGATATGTTTATCACATGATTAAGATGTGTGCTAAGCTTGTTCAACAGTATGAGATTTTGTTTGAAATATAAGTAAAATAGTACTATGAAAGTAGAAAATTAAGATATGTATCCTTTGTCAATGTAATGTCATAATCCATGCTAATGACCGCAGGCCACACTGGAAAGTGACTGATAAGATTCAGTCAACACCAAGAGCTAAACGCTGGGTACTCCATAGTGACAAATCAATATAACCATTACAAACTTCCAGGAAGTTTGATGTGATCCTGGTTTCTTAGGTGGTAACGTCTTTGACTGTGACTTTGGGTGGTACTTGGTTGGATTTCCAAAAATACACCATTTCTTTCGAGATGGCAGAAATACACCTTGAGGACGAGTACTAATAAGCATGAAGCTAGATGTAGGGCTTTCTGTCAGTTACCTCCAACCACCTAACAAAAGTGCGGAATCTCATTATGTGTTTGAATTATTATTGTTCCCTTGGGTTCCTAGTGGAACATAGGGCTTCAACTGCACGTCTCCACTTGCTTCTGTCTTCTGCTTCTGGACTTTTCACCCACATCCATGTTAGTCCATACTCTTTCAACTCCTCTTCACACGATCTCCCCCATGTCACCCTTGCACTGACGTCCCACTCGCCGCTTCTCTTTCGTGTTCCACTCGAGCAATGGCCTGACGCGCGCGCGATGTCACCCAGCGGTCTCCTCAGCGAGCGAGTGTCCAATCCATCCATCTCCACTTTCTCCTGCATATTTGTTGGTTGGCGATTGTTTTGTTTGTTCCTTCCCATAGTTTCTTGTTGGTGATTCTTTCCGGTCCGGCCCGGCCGGCCATCTGATCTTCAGTATAGAGCCAGCGAAGACAGTTGTTGATAAAGGTCTGGTCTGCAACAGGCTGTTGGAAATATTCTTTGTGACTAGCCCGCCAAGTTTCTGACCCGTATAGAAGAACTGACTGACTTGACGTTTGTATTGAAGATCCGAATTTTGTTGTTGATGCTGTACCAGCTCATTTATGGGAGACTGACTGTTATTATTATTATTATTATTATCCCCTTGGGCTTCAACAATACATCTCCACTTTTTTCTATTTTTTGCCGTCCTCCTGAAATGGATTTATGATTGCCCATAGTCTCTCATCTCCTCTTCTTACGGTCTCCTCCATGACTGATATAGTTATAATACAGATTACTATAAAATTAACGATTTGTAATTATATCGAATAAGAATTACTGTTATTCGCATTGATGACTTGCTATTGATTAACCAGTTGTAATTTGAGTTATTTATATGTTATGCATTTGATTGATGATTTTTATGTCATTGTCTTCTGTATGTGTTAATTGAGATCGGTCGTAAACGTGCTAAACGTATACGCAAAATGAGAGAACAACAAAAACGAGCTGAACGTAATAAAAAGAAAATTGTTACAGTTGATAGTTTTATGCAAACTGTTCCAGACGATTATTGGCTTTGTCCTTGGTGTAATGATCATATTCCTCCAGAAAGTCAATGTGGACATGAAGCGATTTGTCGTGCAGGTGTTCAGCAAAAAAAGAAAGAAAATGAACTGAAGGCACGATTAAAACAACATCAATTGTATGTAGAGGCTAAAAAACGTCAACGTTTAGGATTACCGCCGTTGAAAAATCATCATCAACAACAACAACAACAACATAAGTCAGAAATAACTCATTCACGTAGTCGAAGTCGTAATCGTGATAAATCAAATGCAAATAGACATGAGGTTAGTTGGTATCAGATTCCTTTTAAATTTTAGTCGACTGTCACACTATTTTACCTTTTACTAAATTTGGAAAAATTACTATAATGTACTCGTGCGTCGGTGGTTCGGCGGTAGGAACGCTCGCTGACTATGCACACGATCCATGGTTTCATGTCCGGCTGACACACTCCCAAGCCTCACTAAGTGGGTAGTGATTCTGGTAGAAGGTGAATGTTGGGCGTGAGGCTTGCAAACTGCCACCCCGTGAAAATAAACACCACTGCTATGGGAACTTCGAAGCTTTAGCTTAAAGGCCTGTGTTCCACATGTCAACCTGAGACTGAGCATTTCGGTCCAATCAATCGACAGGAAAATCTAAAATTCAATTAAATAATTAATATGACCCGTTGCACAGGAGGTGGCTGTCGTGACCCAAGTGATCTAGTGGATAACGCTCTGGCGTTTGAAACTATGGGGACGGGGTTTGAGCCTCGGTGGGAACATTATCACTCAATGTGGAATGCAGCTACATCGGCCGACGAGTACCAAATAGGACGAAATGCGCACCCCGGATTTCACTGCTAGTCACCGTCCATCAATTAATTTCTAATGTATCAATCTTCGAATTCGTTCATCGAAACAATTGCTACATAGCTTTACATTTAAGAATGTTGAAAGAAGGGACACCTTAATAGTTTCTTAACTATGGATGGTGTCGTAGAATGCAGACGTTGATGTTAGCCTTGAACTGCTTAGCAAAAAGTAAATCAGTCAATACGATCGAGCTCTAATATGCGCTACATTCCGCCAATGATCAGTTGAGTTTCTGAATTCGCTTACTGATCGTCTTGGTTGCTTACTCTATTTAACTAATGTTGTCAAGATTTTAGAAAAGAGGGATGTTTATGTGCGTCGGTGGCACAGCGGTAGGAGACTCGCACTGCTTTACCTCGCTAAGCCAGTAATAAGACTGGTAAAGAGGGAAGGTTGAGCATGAGACTAGCAACCCCATCCCGTAAAAATAAACACCACTGCTACTGAAACTTCACACCTCTAGCCTAAAGCCGTATGTTCCACTGAGAACGTAAAGGAATAATAAAAAAAGTTCCTTTCATTTAATTCCTCTCTTCCTTAATGCACTTACTATACGGAGTGTGGTAGCTTGAACCGCTGCGCTTCTAGGTGAGGTTCTAGGTTAAAAACTCAGTCAGCCAGTCAGAAAAGACGGACTGGACATTTTCAGTAATATGAATCAATCACGGTGGTGCTGATTTATTTACTTTATATCGTCTTCAGAATTTAAACAATCTCCATTTGATTTCTGTTCAATGCCTCATATAATTTCTGTTCACCTTCCCTGTACCGAATGATGTTCTTGCATTCTGTTATTGTAAGATACCAATGAACACATTTAGAAGTTTTAAAACAGTACCTAAAATCTTTTAAATTAGAAGTTTCTACTGCTTATCTCTTTTTTCTCGGGCTTGAAACAACATTCAGTACTTTTAAAGCGATCATGCCTTTTATTAAAATGCAGGAATCTATGTTGCTCTGTTACCCGACAGATAGTTCCTACCTTGACGTGGTGGTCGGGCTTGCATATCGCAAGGACCCAACAAGCTACACTGGTTGGGACTAATTTTTCCTGCTGCTCCTACCATGCCAGGGAGATTGTTATGTTAGCGATTAGACTAAAATTACTTACCGGCATAGTGTAAGATTCTTTTGTTTTTAATACTATGCTGGGGAAGACGGATGTAACGAAAGTAAGGTGTTTCCCTCGGATGACCAGCATGCCAGCTATGCTGTCTCTCTAATCTGGAGACGGGTGGCAAGAAAAGGTTGACCGCAAAAATTGTACATCCCGACTTACCCTACGGCGTTACATTTACTAATACGGGATCAATCCAAGAAAACAGTGTATGACCGGCCTCAAGCAGTTGTCCCCTGAGCTATGTGGTCATGCAACACTCTCTGTTTCTGTTACCCCAAGAATAAATCAGTTTCCACGGTGTGGGCAGTCAGAAAGTAACAACCGCCCACACACCTCCAAAAGCACACGAAGCCCTCCTGATTTTTACTCCGTTAATGTTCATAAATGTATATCACACACTGAAACCGCGTTGTATGTGGATGAGCGATCGCGCGTATGCAAAGTTTAGATAGTTGAGAAGAAAACACAACATTCATCATCAGTAAGTCACTTATGTGATGATATCATACAATAGGAGATATTCTTTCTCATATGACTGTAAGGATGCTTAGTTCGGAATATGATATTAATCCATAAAGTCATTGGTTGTTAATTCGGACCACATTGTGAAAACAAGTCTAGATTTTCGCTGACTGAGGTCTTCTTAGAAGAATTGCTTCAAGATTCCGTTATACACTTCAAACTACTGCACAACAACACAAATGTATTAACCTTTGGTTTCCTCCTAGATTCTAAGAGTCTTCACCAATTCTTCATGAATTAAAAGTCAATCTGAACGAAGAATATTCTTTTCAATAGTTTCTCTTCAGGTTCTTACAATTATAAAATATAATATTTGTGGTCGTTATAATAAAGGCCAGTTATGCGGCGGTGGATACATTTTTAACGTAGAATAACAGATTAGTCATGGGGTGTCAAAATAAATAGTCGCATTTGTGTGACAAACGTGCTAGGTTGAAATTGATAACAGAATATTGTAAAACGGGAGACAATGGTGGTGATTAGTCATAAAAGATTTGTAGAGTGTGGGGTAGGAAAATTGACAAGTCAGTCCAAGGTTATAAAATGTGTCAGGTGAGCGGCTAGTACAAAGTGGTCTGTGTTAAACAGAAGATAGTAAGACTGCAATGAGAGGTTGATAATGAAATAACGAATATTTGAAATGAAACAGGTGGAGGCGTATACTGAGAAAAGAGATAATATCACTAATAATAAGTCCGGATAGTATAAATGAAAAATTCGATAGTATTGAGGGAATGTTTGCATGAAGGGCATAAATTATGACGAACAACAATAATAATAATTGTAATAATAAGCAAAGGAAAAAAAACCAAGAGGGTTAAGGGGAAGGAGCACTCTTGGTGAGAAGAAGAATCATCGATCCAAGTTTGGCCTCGGTAGGAACAATGTCTGGATGTGTTCATTTTGGATACAAAGTTCCGGTTTAGTCGATCTTATTGCAACAGCTTCAGCTGTGTGTAGGAGACGTAAGCGAACTGTACGTGATAACGACTTCGGAATTCGGTATATGACCCTGAAAGCTGTGTTGACATCGATACAATGTCTAGTATCGACCAAGTGTGACGGACCACTTTGTACTAGCCACTCACCTGACACCTTTTATAACCTTGAACTGACTTGTCAATTTTCCTACCCCACACTCTACAAATTTATTATGACTAATCACCACAATTGTGAGCAGTTAAAGCCTCTTACTCCCGTTTCTGAAGATCATCACAGTTGGTTCAAAGCAAAGTTAGTTGACATCACAATTGTCTCCCATTTTACAATATTCTGTTATCAATTTCAAGCTATCACGTTTGTTAAACAAATGCGACTATTTATTTTGACACCCCATAACTAATCTGTTATTCTACGTTAAAAATGTATCCACCGCCGCATAACTGGCCTTTATTGTAACGAAGCAAATATTATATTTTATAATTTTAAGAACCTGAAGAGAAGCTATTGAAAAGAACATTCTTCGTTCAGATTGACTTTTAATTCATAATATGGGAATATTTCACACTGTTAAATCGTATAACTCTCATGTTCGTGAATTGTTTAAATTTTTGTATGTCTTTGTTTATGTGCTGTTGAATTTGATTGATTTACTGGTTTATATTTTCATCTGGTTTAAGTTTTCTTGTTGTAGGAGTACATGTGCATTTTTATAATATTGATATTATTTTTATTTCTAGGTAAAGTCAACAGGAAACATTACTAATCCAACTATAAAAGCAAAAACTGCTTCAGCTAAATTGAATGAAGTTCATCCGAATGATATGGAAGCAATGATAAAACTTATGCAGCGTTTGTGTACAGAGTCCAAATGTCAATTACTCGCTGATAGTGATTGTGTATCCTTGTCAGCCAGCAAATGTTCACAGTGTAAACGTGCTTATTGTTTTATTCATCGTCCAATAGGAAAACATAGTGCTTGTGCCTTGAAACATGAAGTGTCCATTTCAGAGAATGCTACATCTGTAGCCTGTGGTTGGGATGCAGAGGAAAAGAAAGAAGCATTAAAACTCGCGATGCGTGAACGTAAAGCTAAACTTCGAGAAATGCGTCAGCGATGTTAAACTGAACACTAACACTTTGGCTGTGACCTAATTAATAATAACTTTCATAATAATAATATTTTTTACTTTTGAACAATTTTTTTTTCTTATTTATAATGCTAGCTTTTTATACATTTTATTTTAAAAAAATTGTTTATTTTTACAACTGATCAAATTCATTTTGATGAATTTATAATTCGATTTTGTTTTTTCAAGAAAAATAAATAGCATAACGGTTTTCACCTCACTTTTTATTGAGTTGTTGCGAAAGAAGGTGAATCACATCATTGATGTAATGCATTCCTATGAATAGAGAGAAGAAGAAAACATCCACCGTTATTACCTGTTTGAGGAAAGTTGCCTAGAATTTACGTCCTCACTGAAAAATCACCTATACCTGCTCATATTGTCTAGTGTGTGGCAGTCACTTGTGTATACGGCTACTTATGACTGGCTACGAAATGCATTATTATTATTTATTTCCTTTAATTCCTAGAGGAACATAGGGCTTCAGCCGCGCGTCTCCATTGCATTCGGTTCTCTGCTAGAGTTTTCACCTGGCTCCAAGTCTGCCCACATGCTTTTATCTCCTCTTCACATGACCTCCTCCAAGTCACCCTCGCACTGAAGACCAACTCGCCGCTTCCCTTTCGGGTTCTACTCAAACGATGGCTTGTCTAGTGATGTCACTTGATAATTTCCTCAAATTATGGTCAATCCATCTCCATTTCTTGTTGCACAATCGGTTCCTGCTGAGTTGGTTCGCTCCCAGAGATCCCCTCTGTTGCTGATCTTTTCTGGCCATCTGATCTTGAGGGGTATTGAGCGAAGACAGCTGTTATTGAAGGTCTGTAGTTTGTTTGAGGCGCTCTTTATGACGCGCCAAGTCTCTGATCCGTATAGTAGCACTGACTTCACATTGGAGTTGAAAATCCGGATGTTATTTTTGATGCTGAATGCTGTTGACCTCCACACGGACTTGAGAGTAATGAAAGCTTGTCTTGCTTTTCCGATCGTCGCTTTGATATCCTCGTCATTACCGTCCGCCTGTAGTTGAAACGATCCTTCCCAGGTAGGGTGGTAGGTAAAGGAGGTTGTTTCTTTCAGATTCCTCCCATTTATGCTAGCTGATTGTTGTCTGTTGTTGTTGTTGCTGTTAGTAAGGAATCTTCATCACCTCTGTTTTCTCTATGTTCACCTGAAGTCCAATCTTCGCTGGATGTTTCCTCTGCCAACTTGTTGCTTTTCACTTACATATCTTCCAGTTTGTGGGAAATCAGACATATATCATCGGCGAAGTCCAGATCCTCCATTTTTTTTGTGTGAGTCCATTTCATGCCTGTTTCCTCGTTGCCCGCTGTCTGTCGCATTATTCAATCTACCACAATCAGGAAAATCATTGGCGATGGTATACAGCCTTGTCTTACTCCCGTCTTCACTTGGAAGGATTCCGTAAGTTTCCCGTTGTAGATTACTTGTCATGCAGCATTGTCGTAGAACTGTTGGATGAGATGTATAATTGTCGGTGGCACCCCGTAGTAGCGATCGATCGACGCTGTCGAAGGCCTTTTCAAAGTCGATGAAGTTGAGATGGAGAAGTGACTGCCATTTCAAGTTTTGTTCAATGATGATCCGCAGTGTGGCGATTTGATCAATACATGACTTGTTTTTCCTGAATCCGGCCTGTTCCGGTCGAAGTTTTTCATCCAGGGCTTGTTTGATTCTCTCTAGAATGATGCGTCTTGGTATTTTGCTTGGGATGGACAGGAGCATAATGTCGCGCCAGTTCTTGCACTGATTTAAGTCTCCTTTCTTTGGCAGTTTGAATAAGTATCCTTTCTTCCAATCCTCAGGTACCTTGCCCTCTTTCCACACCTTCTCCAGTGGTGGCATGGATATCATAAATTATTCTACTCAAATGAACAGTACGTTATAAGATTACTCAAGTGTTTATAACTGACTACAGTGGAGTGGGAAAATTCACATTTGACGACCAGGCAACTGTAACCTGTCTGTTTAGAGGGTAACTCTCCCTCATTCTGTAATATGTAGACCTCTGTAACTTAGTAGTCCGCGCAATCACATGTCTACGGACATAGAAAACACGCAGCTAAAAAAAACAGCTATTCTCTGAACTTAATCCGAACACAGTTACAATTTGGGAGGGGGGAACAAATAACTAAAAACGTATGTGAGATTGACAACGTCACTGATCCTGAGGAAGCCTGGCATGATATCCAGTCATTGGTAGGAAAAGTGATAAAGACTGATAATAATCTAAAACTAAAGGTTAGTGAATGCTAGTGGACTTAGGTTGTTTCATCCTAACTGATTGACTCAAGAAGATTGATTCCTTTGGGGTCTGGACACACGATGAGGAGCGAAAGCTCCTCAAGTACGAACTGGCCAAAAGTCTGCTCAAACACTGGTGGGCGACAAAAGCAAAAGAGATGGGAAAGGTACCAGCGACAGATAACACCAGACAACTATTTAGACTTATTGTAGAAACAGGTTGCAAAAGGCAAATATAAGCAAGGCGTTTTCCGAGAAATGGGGCATCTTAAATATAGCTCTCCGGACGGAAGCTTGGAAAGTTGGAGGGAACACTGCGAATGACAATATCACTGGCGTATAGTGGCACTCAGCTCTCTCAACACCTTCTTGACTGGGATGTCGACATCGGTCCTATAACTGTAACTGAGGATTCAAAGACTACCTGTAACCTGAACCGAGACAAAGCGGCAGGACTCGACTTAATGGGCTCAGAGGCGTTTAAGGACGGTGATGACGAACTGTTGTCTTTGTCAACTAAGGTACTAGATAATATTTTGGAATAAGAGATAGTCCCGTCGAGCAGGTGTTGTGAATCATTGATTCTACAAGATTATAAGAAGAGCGCCAGGTCTTCGTGTGATAATTATAGGGTGATAAACTTGATTATTATACTATCTAAAGTTCTAGGTTCGATCATGATGCTCAGATGAAATTCTGTTCGGGAGAAACAAATCCAGGTATATGCCTTAGCGAATAAAAGGATTTATTGATGATATCTTCACTCTGTGACAAATTTAGGAGAAAGGAGTGGTGACCGACGTCGAAAAATCACCAAACTTCTTCACCTAGAGATGGAATTCGACTCCGTCGACTGCAAGTTGCTCTGGAAATGTCTCGCCATGAAAAAAGGATAGAGAACGTTCATCCCACTAATAGAGAAACACAAAAGTCGTCGTGAGATAGCTTAACCAGAGCCATGGCTGTCCAGTGTCTCCTTTTGTATTTAATGTCATCACACATTTGACTTGGTCGACACAGGGACTTACCTGTTGACGCGGAAGTGTCGCCGATTTAGGGTATGCAGATGATATCGTTGTTCTAGATGAAGATGGAAAAATGTAGTATTGTGAACGCCTTTATCAGAGATCTTTGTATGTTTGAGACGGGATTCGCCAGTGTCAAATGTTAGATGAATCTAGAGGAGTGGTCTTCACTGACTCCTTGTTAGTTTAATGAAATGGATGGACGTGTTGATAACTTCACTTATTTAGGAATTTGTGTCAGCCTTAATCGACTGGTTATTGACGAAATTTCAGCTTAATTATGAAAGGCTGATGTCATATTTGCCAAATATTCCATCTCTAGTGTGGACGTGATATTCGTCTGTCGATCAAAACACACGTGTACTGCACAGGGCCCAGCTTCATCCTTCTTTATGACTGTAAGATGTGGTCGATGACAGTGGAAGATTTGAAAAGACTAGCTATTTTGACTATGGGTGTTTATGTTCTACCTCTAGGTGATATAGTAGGACGAATAATATCGAGGTTAGGGGTAGGGGAAGTCAATCTATCATGAGGTTGTGAAGCTGGAATAATTAAGGTGGCTAGGACAGTGTTGTTACGTATGACAAGCCATCGGCTTCCACTGTTATCTATGTCAGCCGACATATGATTAGGCTGGAATAAAGTTGGGAATGGTGAAATCAAAACATGGAACCAGTCCGTGAAGTCTTTGACCGTTCGTTCAATTCACGTGGCGATGGGGGAATTTCGAAACGCCAATAACTCGGCATTGTTAGTAACATGGCCCAAAATAATTCTCAATCGTGTAGATGAACTCCCAGTTCTATAAAATTCATGTTATTCTCCACATAGTTATTCCTTGGCAATTGTGTGGGCGTTAGACAAACGGAGATCTTATTTACTTGGTCAACGCTTCCACTTAGAGACTGATCAGCCGTTAAAGTGGCTGAGAACCGCCAGAGACCCACGTGGGAAGTTGTCACAATGGATGTTGCGCATCCAAGAGTATGATTTCACGATCTATCATGCTCCAGGAGGAGAAAACGTGTTACCGGATATTTTATTTAGAACAGAAGTGGTAGAGTTACCTGAAATAGCATATGGTGTAAATGCCTTAAAGCAAGAATTGTCCAGAGTCAGAGATCGGAAGACACCCAGCAAACTGTCATACAGGTGATAACTAACGCAAAAAAGGTGAATCAGCCCACAGAGAATCGTGAGTTAAATTTTCTACTCAAACAGAAAGACCGGCTAAGCTTGAATGCCTGAGGAATGTTGACATGGCAGGAGGATGACGGAAGCTGCTTAACAGTAATATCCCAATGCCTGTGCCAAGAGATGATACGAGAATGTCACCAACTAGTACACACAAGTGTTGCCAGAACAAACGATCTGCTGCGCCAACCAATCACAGGCCAGGGATGAGAGAAGACGTCAAGAAGTACGTAACAGTGTGTAAGCATTGTCAGCAGATTAAGGGTGAACAGTACATACGACCGTCACCACGGTCGATTCCAGTGACAACAGTGGGTGACCTGTGGTCTTTACCCAGAGGTCCAATGGCAATCAATACCTTCTGGTAGTGACAGAACACGCCACACGATGGCTAAACGCACTCGCGATCAACGAGCAAAGACGGTGACAGAAGCAGTGGTTCGACATATCGTTGCAAACCACGGTGCACTAAAAGTGATATTGACAGACCACGGTCCGTGATTTGAAAGTGAAGAGTTTAAAGTCCGGTTGCAAGAGTTAGGTATCAAAAAATTTAGAACAACGCCACAAACGAACGGCTTGACGGAGAGAAATAACCGTACACTAAAAGAGTGGTTGGCCACAAAGGGAGGTAACTGGGTGACAGAACTCCCACTGATTCTGCTAACACATCGTGCGTCCGCACAAGAAACGAAGAAAAATCAGCGTTTCATTTTATTTATGTGGGGAAACCACGACTACCGATACATAACAAGACCTGGCCCCGCCACCAGCAGTGGAGTATGACGAGATGCCGGACGGAGTGGAAAGAAGCCATCAACGTAAAGCAGAAGATAAACGCTGTGAAATCCGAAAAGAGGCTAAAGGGAAAGTACCCAGAATTCGAGATCGGATATCAAGTTAAATGTAGAGATAGGCGAAACACCAGCGGATACTAGCCAGAGTTATGCAAGCTGCTTCCAAAGTGGAAAGGATCATGCAGGGTCACCGTGAGATGGAGTCACGTATATACTATCAGAAATGCAAACAAAGAGTAGCGGGTGAAGGTCAGCGAGCGCCGGAACTCAATACAACAAGACAGGCTAACAAAGCCACCAGCACCAAGAAGATCGAACTGACTTCAGTCGAAAGTATCTGATGAGGGGGACAAGTGTGGTGGTGTGTGATACAGACAATGTATTCCAACGAAACTTGATTCTCATATATTCCTACAGTTCGATGCTGCATTAGCAGCAGAATACGAGATATCTGTTTGATCATTCTATATAATGTTAGAGCTAGAATACTTTTCCCACCGTTATATAATGCGCTGGCAACAGAATACTATGCAAATTTTAACATTCTATGTCATGTCGTTTGATGTAAACCGAAATCACACACTCGATAATTGGCTTAAGAACAGTGTTTTGATCGATGCAAAATATACCTTGGCTTCGGTTGTTACAACAATAGGAAAGCTACAAATCCTATATGTAATTAAGAGCTGTGTCTGACTATTTAAAACTCTAGTCATACAGACGCTTGGATGAGTTTGTTTCTAAACTTTATGAATATAAACTACTACCTTTATTCCTTCTCCATAAAAACGTCTAGCTTAGTGGGATTACAAAGAAGGGAAAATAGTTGGATTTTGTTTTTTGTGCCGATAAATATTTGATGTTGTCGAGATCGTTATATTGTTTTAGGGGATTATTTACTATATTCGGAATTTTCTACTGTTGGGTGTAGGCGATTTAGGATGCGCAATTCAGTTTAAATAATGGGGGGGGGGGCGGTGGAGCAGTTTCGTTTATTTAATCGCGGTGGCTAAGTATTTTATCTTCGTCTCGCATTTGATGATTACTTTTACTTTCCACCTAAGTTGAAGGTCGGATTCAGGAAAGGCAAATCATGTTCTGGCCAAATTGCAACAACTCTACGCATCATCATCACAGGACAAAGCATGGAATGGCGATCAAACCTCTACCTCAACTTTATAGATTCTGAGAAATCCTTTGACAGCGTTGATCGCAAAGTAATTTGGAAATTACTCGACTACTAAGGCGTACCCCAAATATTCATCAACCTTATTCAACAGCTGTTCGACAACGGCACATGTCAAATGATCCACAACGGAAAAATCAGCGAGGCGTTTGGAGAAAACACAGGAGTCAGACAAGGATGCTGGCTTATTATCACCAATGATATTCCTAATTGTGGTGGACTGACTGGATTATGCGTCAGACAATGGGAAACGAGAAGACAGGGATATCCTGGACCGACGTGAAGAACCTAGAAGACCTGGATTTCGCGAGTGGATGATTTATGTTTGATGTCACACAAAATCGAAGACTTACAAGCGAAAACCGATAAACTGGTCGAAGAAGCAGCCGGTGAAGACAGAACTCCAGGTGAACAAGACGAAGGTGATAAAAATAACCAGCCAACAACAACAACAGCAACATCCAGGGTCAATCACCATCAACGGGATGGATTTGAAAGAGGTCACTTCATTCACTTATCTATGGAGGGAGCATTTTCTCAACTACAGACAGTCGGAACGGACGAGGATGTCAAATCGAGCGAGAATCGGGTGGCGCGCGAGAAACACATTCATCAACCTGAAACAAACAATCTGGAAATCTTCGTCAATCAGCCAGCATCAACAACAAAATTCGGTCGGATCTTCAATACAAACGTCAAGTCAGTCAGTTCTTCTATACGGGTCAGAAACTTGGCGGGCTAGTCACAAAGAATATTTCCAACAGCCTGTTGCAGACCAGACCTTTATCAACAACTGTCTTCGCTGGCTCTATACTGAAGATCAGATGGCCGGGCCGGGCCGGACCGGAAAGAATCACCAACAAGAAACTATGGGAAGGAACAAACAAAACAATCGCCAACCAACAAATATGCAGGAGAAAGTGGAGATGGATTGGACACTCGCTCGCTGAGGAGACCGCTGGATGATATCACGCACGCATCAGGCCATTGCTCGAGTGGAACACGAAAGGGAAGCGGCGAGTGGGACGTCAGTGCAAGGGTGACATGAAGGAGATCGTGTGAAGAGGAGTTGAAAGAGTATGGACTAACATGGATGTGGGTGAAAAGTCCAGAAGCAGAAGACAGAAGCAAGTGGAGACGTGCAGTTGAAGCCCTATGTTCCACTAGGAGCCTAAGGGAACAATAATAATAATATGTTGAAGGTCACTGGGTTTCAGGCTGTGTGTAACGTATTATTAACGCAGGCTTAATTAGCCTTTTTATTGGGCTTGGGCGATGGCAAACATCATTATAATTAGAAGAGAGAAAAAAATAATGAGTACACAACTTCACATTTGATTACTCAAACCAAGCTTAATTGGCTAAATTAAATATTACATAAATAATAAAAATACAGCTAAAGTCAAGTTATTAAAGTAGTTCTCTTATTGAAGACGGATATATTATAGTGTACAGTGGAGGCAGTGTTCCATTTTTTGTTGACCACCGCCAGCTAACTTTGGGGAAATCCGGTAGACTGTTTGTTGAACGAACGAGCAGGAGCGAACCCAAGTATTTTCTGCACGTTCTACAAAAGAGGATATTAAAATGTTATGTAGTTAACAAATCCCAAAGCACAGCTTCATTGCCGATGTTTAGCGTATGACAACCAATTTGTTTCTTAAAAATAAAAACATTTTGCGTGATATTTCAAAGATGAAGGCCATGTACAAATGCAAGAAAATATACTGCCAAACCCATCGTAATTATTCTACTAAGATCAGACAACTATTCTCAGAAGCCGAACTACAAGAGCAAATAGGAAACATATATTAGGATCAGATACGTAACGCGGTGATGTCTCCCTAGTTGGCTGGACCAAGTGAATGAACAGCCTGTCTGTCTGTTTTCGACATAAAACTTTGCACCAATGTGCAGCAGTCCAAGTCGCCACACTCCATGTAGAACACAAAGCAAGAAAGAAATCCATAATAGAGACAGTAAACAGAGGTGTGAGACAAAGGAATAGTAATAACGAAGAACAATATAGTTTCATTAGAAATCATAAGTCACACGGATTGGGTGCATCTGCGCTATGCATTGAGAACGATTTTGAGCCATGTCCCCAATAGTTTCCAAACATTGGTTTTTACCGTCCCGAGGACCCCAACCCGGAAGTCTACACCTTCCTACGTGACTTAAACTAACTGTTGTGGATTTCATTGACTGGTGCCATGTTTTTGGTTTGACTGCCACTAGCTCTTCCCCAACCTGATTCAGTTAACATTGTCCGTCGAGGAAGGCGATGACCAGGCATACGTAACACATGTCCTAACCATCTCAGTCGATGTAATTTCACAGCCTCGTCGATTGATTTGCCCTCTTTACCTAGCACTCATCACTAAACACCTATGATGAAATTGAACAAAAGTGGGTAAAGCGGCACCCCTGAGAGAAATCACTGGCTGTCATCATTTCAGATAACAACTCTGGTGGTTATGCTTTTGTGCGCTTACGTTATTTTGTCCGAGTGCTTTCATTAGTACAATGAACGTTCTCGGTGTTTCTTTCACGGCCAAATATTTCCAAAGTACCTTCCAGCCAATGGATCAGAATTCCATCTTTATGTCAAGAAGTATGATGATTTTTGGTCACCACTCTTTTCTCCTAAATTTTTCTCAGAGTGAAGATACCATCAATAAATCCTTTTATTCGCTAAGGCATATACCTGGATTTGTTTCTCCCGAACAGAATTTCACCTGAGTATCATGATCAAACCTAGAACTTTAGATAGTATAATAATCAAGTTTATCACCCTATAATTATCACACGAAGACCTGTCGCTCTTCTTGTAAACTCGTACACAAATGCAGCATTGTGAGAGACTATTTCTAACTAGTAACGTAAATTGACAGGCAAGATTATAAGAACCGTACATTGGACAGATTAGAAATAAGCCAGTAATAATAAGTTTGAAATACTTTTCCGTATTCAAAGAGCAAACTAAACCGATTGACAAGTGATGTTTTTGACAGATTTTCTAATCATAATAATAACAATGACAATAATTTTCTTTATTCCAAAACAGTACTAGTGATACAGAATGGAATAATTCTCAGCATTTCACAACAGTATTGCATCCAGTTAGTACATTAATAATAAATAAAATTCTACATAGATTAAAGGTAATCTAAGTTAGTTTTAGCAACAACATATTGGCATATCGGTAGCAAAGCCAAAATTGAACAGAATGTTTGAAAGTGTTAGAAAAATTGATACTAGCATATTTACTGACGTAAGCGGTAACAAAAAGGTCGAGATATACAGAGTGTGAAAGAACGAAGAAGAATGTTTTAAGTAGAGTCTGTAAAGAAGAGAGAAACAAAACAGCACATAACAAAAAAAGAGAGAGAAAAGGAAAAGAAAGAAAGAAAACGTTGTACCTATAAATGATATGAGTTGGGAAGACGAGATCCAGTTGTTCTACTGACTATTTAATAAGCTATAAGTTTCACGCCTAATGCTTTCTTTATCTCACAGAACACGAGCCAAGTAGGGTATGGTTGAGTTTTTGTACTTCCTAGTGCGAGCATATAATTTTCTATATAGGCTTCTGGTCCTGCCTGATGAGATACAAGGGGGGAGAGTTGTGAATGAAGAGGGTGGTGTGAGTTAGCGCATTTTTCACATGAGTCCAAGTGCCTTTCGATCACAGTATCAACAAACTGGTTAAGTGGCACATTGCTTACACTGCTAACAACCTTTTACACCCTACGTAATAAGATATAGTCCTTCTCCAGTAGTCCTGTAAAAACTAAGGGTGAACAATAGGGAATAATAGGCAGGATACAAGAGTTAACAAATCGTAAGAGTAAGGGTTGGGTTATTCCAGAATGTCTTAAAAACTTGATGTAGAAGGTAGGACGGAATATTTTCTTAGAAATTAATGAGAAGTTTGAAACCATGGAGGGATAAAATTGACAGTCACGAAGGGGAGACTTTTACACTAGAATTGTATGAGTATTCACTTAGAATTCTACGAAAACTGACTTCAAAAGTGTAATATTATTAATCCAAGTGAGATAATTACGAGGAAATTAAGAAAATCAGTTCGAAGAACTTTTAATGCTGGCGAACTACACGTATTATTCTCTACACGACCGATGATGCTACCTCGACTGAAAGATGAAGTAACTAGACTAGCCACTTCAAATTGTATCTACCAATTCAGCTGCGCTTGCGGAGCAAGTTATATTGGTTGTTGCTTTAGGGACTTGATTTTTCGTTCTCGAGAACATCTCCCACTATAGCTAAGTAAAGGTGTAGTGAAAACCATTAACAGTTCGATATTGGACCATCCGGTGCAAACCGGCCACAAAGCCAGTGTGGAAGAATCCTTCTATATCATCTACCGGGTGCCTAATAAATTGCCAAAATCATCGAAGCACCACAGGCTCCAAACAGCAGAGAGTATTGAAATTCGCCTTAAACAACCAGTGCTCTGTGTTCAAAATAAGCAAGTCAATCGCCTACTACTGCCTTGGCCTTTAGTAGGCAGCATAAATTAATGAATTTGCATTATTTTCTTTCCTAATTTTTCTGACATTCAGCTTATTTTATGTTGATGCTGTTGAAATGTAATCCATTGATATTAGCATTGATTCGATGTTATTTAAACAGCATTAATGTTGTTCATAACACTAATTCACTGATTCATTCACTATAATGTATATAAAACTATAGAGCCTGATGATGAAGTTATCGAAAAGAGTACTCTTTGTTCAGTATCCATTCTTTTGAAAATTTTAATGGGCATTTTGAATCAGTTAAAAAGAAATCAGTTTAAACAAGGCCAGAACTTGCGAAGTGAAAATTGTTTTGATGTGGTTTTGTTCTCTGAGCTGGATGGTTAGTTTGCGTTTTGTTTTGTTTTATTAGCAACAAAACGACTGAGAATTTGTGTCGAGAAATAGACAATTCTAAAGGTATAATGTAGGCTAATAAAGACAACTATAAATGCGAGAATAAAATCACTTTTGAATCATCTATAGAATAAACGTGGCAAATAATATAGATAAGAATGTTTAGCTTTGATTGTGTCTATACAAATAAATACAATTAAGCTTAAGACATTTTTCTTTGAAATACTCTGATGAGTGAACATTCTATATAACTGGTATTCTTAACTCATATGAACTATGGTGTCAAGATTTAACAGAATAGTTCAAAAATAATAACTGGGCGCCAAGTGATAAGTAGACATTTGTAAAATCTCAGCGAAATTGAAAATAAGTAATTCCAACATTTTGTTCGGTAAACTGCTCCGAACTTCTTCAGGGAAATTAATCAAAATTAATATAACAGATGTTTATAAATAAAAAGGACATCTTTTGTCTTTTAAAGGCTTTGTCCTATGAGTCATGAAGCAGTCATCAAAACATAATAAACAAAATTGTATGAGTGGTGATCAAAATTTGACCTCAGACTTACATACATTGATCTATTCTTGTTAAACACTTTAGAGTGTACTTATAGCTCATATGATTGGAAAAAGTTTTTTTAAAAGGCAAGAGATGTCCTTTTTATTTATAAACCTCTGTTGTTATGTTAATTTCGATTAATTTCCCTGAAAAAGTTCGGACCAGATTGCTGAGGGAAACGTTGGAATTACTTATTTTCAATTTCGCTGAAATTTTACAAATATAACTTTTACAAATGTCTAGTATTCTTAACTTTGATATTTGAAATACAGCATGTATAATATTTTTGACACTTATCCATCGAATAATGACTCCATTTTGCAGTAGACACAGTAATAAAAAGGACTAATATTTACAACGACAACGGCAACAACAAAAATTACCTGTCGAATTGACATAGTGCATAAGATGTACACGAAAACGAAAGAACCATCTGTGAAATCATTTCCCGGAAGATTTCGATGCGATAATCCTTGGATCCATGATAACGGGACAAAGGGTAATTTAGCTACAACACGACCATCAAACCTAGGGAAAATATGTCAAACCACTGAAACATTATACACTATAAGCAGCAGATATTTTATTAAATACAACACAAAGAAAACACTGATACAAGCATGTATCACGTATGTATGATGGAAGTAAAGCTGCACAGGAGAGGCATGTTGAAAAAAAGGCTATGCTAAGTATATGAATCGTAAACTTTACTAGAATGAAATAGATCTCGAGATATATCTGTCGAAAGAAACATACTTCTTAAACTAACCAAGGGTAGGTCTGCACAACTAGAGTACATAAAACTTTTGATTAATCGACACAAAAACTAGCCATCACAACAACAGTGTTATTGAGAATATATTTAATCACTATCCTTAATATTATTTTATGTCCTGATATTACTTTAACACAAGGTATCATAGATTGTGAATATTATGATATGCAGCAGGATTAAATAAAGAGATATACGGAATTTTATTTTGATGGTTTCTTGGGCACTGTGATAGAGTATAATTCCATTGTAGATAATAATCATTTTGATAAAGTCTCACTGTGTTTTACTGTAATATTTGCTGACGACGTTTCGGGTAGAATTTATTGCTAATAATCATATCCAGTCACTCACATAACTTCCCAACTTCGTTTATATCTCTGTCTGTCTGGATTCAACATAGAACTTGGCACCGAAGTGCAGCCACATTCCAAATAGCACACATAGGTAGACAAGAAGATGAGTGAAGAGAATCAATACAGTCTGACAAGTATAAGAGTGAAACAGAATGGGTAATGGTAGAAACGAATATGAAAGATTACAGAGACTGAAAACATCTGCGCTGGCGATTGACAACGATTTTGAGCCATGTCACCTATTGTCTCCAACCATTGATTCCTAGAGTCAGTCCCGAGGGCCCCAACCCGGGAGTCTGCATCTCCCTACCTGACTCAGTTTAACTGTCAAGGATTTCATGGATTGATGAGGCCATGTTTTTGTTTGGCTATCACTTACTCTTTTCCAACCTGCACCTATATCAGCTAGTAATGCCCGTCGGGGAGGCGGTGATTACGCATGCGCAGCACGTGACCTAGCCATCTCAATTTATGTAACTTTATAGCTTCGTCGATTGATTTTCCCTCTTTGCCCAACTCTCTATGCCTAACGTCAACATTACTTACCTTATTAAACTACCTAACGTGAGAAAGAGATCGCAGACATCTATGATCGAAAGCAGTCAACCTTCTCATGTGTTCAACTCGCATTGGCCATGTTTCAGAGCGATAGAGAAGGACGGAGCGAACTGCTGAGAAGTACACACGTTTATATAGTTCCATTATTTTCCATATTTCCGGTATGATTGGTGAATCATCCCTATTGCACCTGTCGGGTGTAGACTCGATGGATCAGGCAGGATTTAGTAATCAACCTCTCTCTCTCCACCTCCCTATATTACTTTTAGAATTTTATCTTTGTCCCACCTTATTGTGTGGTTGTGTGTTAATGCATGCAGTGCAATTGCTGAGTTTTTCTCCAAATTACTTATCTTCTCGGGGTCAATCAGTCTGCTCTTAGCTAAATTAGTATGTTCTGATAATCTGACTACGTCCGATCTACTAGTTCGACTCTATGTAGTTGATCTTACAGTCATTGCAAACTGTTTTAGAAATTACATTATTATATCTAATTGGATCGATAGGGTCCTCGGATATCCCTCCGCATAAGTTAAAACTGTAGATGTCTTATATTCTGTTTTATTTGTGTTATAACTATTAGTTTCATTACTATTTTTATTTTGCTGTTGACCTTTTTTGATCCTCCTATTAATTTTATAGGATAGTTATTTGACGCCATTCCTTACCAGGGTTCTTCCTGAAGCAGAGATTAAGGTGACATTTAAACCTACAGACTTACTCATGGACAAGCTCTGTAGGTTAAAGCACCCTGTTGACCCAATTAGATATAATAATGTAATTTCTAAAACAGTTTGCAATGACTGTAAGATCAACTACATAGAGTCGAACTAGTAGATCGGACGTAGTCAGATTATCAGAACATACTAATTTAGCTAAGAGCAGACTGATTGACCCCGAGAAGATAAGTAATTTGGAGAAAAACTCAGCAATTGCACTGCATGCATTAACACACAACCACACAATAAGGTGGGACAAAGATAAAATTCTAAAAGTAATATAGGGAGGTGGAGAGAGAGAGGTTGATTACTAAATCCTGCCTGATCCATCGAGTCTACACCCGACAGGTGCAATAGGAATGACTCATCACACATACCGAGAATATGGAGAATACTATTACCAATCAAATCAAACAATGGAAAATAATGGAATTATATAAACGAAGTTAGAAAGTTGTGTAAGTACCTTGATATGATTATGAGCAAGAAATTGTGCTTGAAACGTCATCAATAAACATTACTGTATAATCATGTGCAACTTTATCAAAATAAATGTTATCCAAAGTGGAATTCCTCGTAGATAAATAACTCCAGTTGACAACTTAAGTAAAACTATTTTTATAACTCAGTAATCTATACTGAGCCTCTGCATTGTTCATACGGTGATTCTATTACTCACCAAGCCATTAAATCCTTATTATCCATAACTTTTCATAATCCTGATTAACAATAATGCAAGAGGAAAACAGTAAAGGTTTTTATAAATGGAGAATAATTAATTGTATGAAAATCGATCAACAGCTATTATTTGATGTAGTGTTGGCTATACGCCTAAGCGAAACCTGAGAGAACGAGACTGAAGTTCCTGCCTACTTTAGAATTAAAGGACACTAGTTACCTTTTTGTTTAGTTGGAGGTGCAAAAAATAGTATTTATGCAGAAACAAAAACTGCGATTGGATAACCATTACTATTTGAAGTTCATTAAGCATTATTATACATGTATTGAACCTAAACAACCAGAATCCCAAACAGTTGGTAAGATGCATATATATATTCATATTACTTTAGCACCCAAGATTGATTTTCGAATCCCAGCTATCAAACAAAGCTGCAATTTGTCGAACGTGTACAGCAGGAATCATAATTCCAGAGGAGATGAAACTTAGTATTTACTGCAGAGTTCACAGCATTTGAACGATGACACTACATATTACTACTTTTGTTAACGTGTATATATATGTGGTGACACATATAAGGACTCATTACTCTACGTATATCAGAACATGGCATATATTAAAATCGCTGCAACCATTTTCTTAATTCTTCCTATGATCTAATGTGTATATTCCATAACAAATATCAGTTCATCAGGGAAATACAAAGCTGACCTTATCTAATGCTAACACCTATTTAACAACCATATATATATAGCACAACTACGGAAGGTTTAGATTTATTTTGTGTTGAAAACTCGCCATTGTAATTTAATTTTAAGACCAAGGGCTACTTATATGTTAACTTGTTTGTGTTCACCTGTGACTTGGACCAACTGAATTTAGTTATGATCCTTTAACCTATTAACATTCATATAAGTGCATATTCGGCAAGTACATGTGTGACAAAAATGTCCGATACGTGTTTCACAAACATATCTTCCGATTGTTTTGTCCAAATCTGATTCTTGTGGCTTAAGGTGTCACTGTATGGCATAATCTCTTGCAATTTTGACTTGCAAACAGATGTTGCTCAATAGTTATTTACCCCCACTGCACCATTTTATGGACTGACCACACCTAGCCTTATCTGACAAATCCTTGTGCTTACAAACAGTACACGATATGCAGGCCACTAGGGCGATTTCGCAGTACACTTTCAAGTAACCAAAGTTATTATTTCAAGATGACAACTTAGACTGGCCATTTTGCATTTGAAAAATACTTTTCATGATGTCATCGGCAGATGCAAGAAATCCTACGAAAGCAGTGATTAGATTATCGAAACATACGGAAACATTAGACATCTTTAGCTTGGACACAAACCTCCACAGGTATAGGACAGAACTGTACATGTTCAAGGGTATATTCAACGCAACTTTTGACGACCAAACTACGATTGGTATGCTTTAGAGTAAAATATGTTGGGACTATGTGTCAGTTGAGGTGTCTTTCAAACAGCTTTGCCTAATATTACAGATAGATAGGTACAATTAGGCAAGGATTTCAAGCAACGACAAGGAGCTGAGTGAAACGAACGTGCGAAAGTAAAATAAGCGAAGCGGCCTGTATGAAAGAATGACTTAAACAGTAAAATGACAGCAGACTGAAGAGTTAATAATGAAGTGTGCGATGGAGTTCAAGTGTTTGGTTGTAACTTCATTGAACTGAGTTGAAGCTCCCACTCAGATATTGCTCCTCGCACTGTACAAAGGATAATAAAACGACTCTGGTTTCCAAACAAAGAGAGAAGGTTGTCTTAGGAGCTTTTAGCTTGTGGTACAAAACAACAAGATAGTAGACCGAAGTCAGGAGTAGCATCATAAGGATTACGGGTGATCAAACCGGGCTTATATACAAATCATTCTTCTCAGATGATGGAACACGTGTACATAATTGGTTTGGAACCAGTTTTTCTACTTCGACTCCCTATTCTGTCCCTGAGATTTACCTTAGTAGTGACAATACCATGTGAAGGTGATGAATGAGAACAAGTTATAAACACGGGGCTAGAGAACTTGTCGATATGCAGAACGCAATACACTCATCCACAGCTACATCAGTATTATAGGATTATCACAAAATGTATTTGGCTTTATACATTAAAGTTATCATCTGTAAAACAGTGTGGACTTACAGGCTACTAAATACATTGAATAGTGAAGTGAATATAAGTCCAACTGCGAACATAGATTTCATTTTAACCTTTGGGAAAGATATTACTGACTGATATTAATTACTTACTAAAGACAACTCTCGATTAATGTTTTTGAATCGTTCTTCTTGTTTTTCTACAAAATATCAAAAAATACAAGTGAAAAAAATGAAACCTACCCAAACGCTTTTTAGCTGTACGATCAATAGCTGACTCCGTAACATCCCGTTGCTTTTCCACTTAGAAGTCACATTAGATATCTGAATAAGCTACTTACAGCGTTTTGATTGTTTGTCTACTTCAGCCTTTAACTTCTGGTACTTTTCAGTCCTGTATACAAAAGCCAAGTCAAGCCTAAAAACAAACATTTCAGTAAATACTCTACGACAAGCAGCGCATACCTTCTCCCAAAAATGCCGTAAAAAAGGATATACAAATAATTGAAAGCGTATCCTGTAGCATTTGTTCTTCACTATTGGATAGAAAACGAGAAGTGGGAAATCAAAAATAAATACAGTGCAAGAAAAAAATATATATTGAACAACAAATATGAAGGCAAATCTAATTCACAAACGATTTTAAAGCGAGCATAGAGACCAATGCATAAAAAAGGTCCTGGATGTTGCACAATCGTTTACGCTGAATAGTTCCGCTGATTTCAACCATTGCATTTCTAGAAGACAGCAGTAGTTTTCATCCTTGGAACTTCCATTCAATTCATACCAATATTAAAAAATATCCGTTCAGTTTTGCATACTACGACCACCAAATTATGCTGAACTCTGAAACACAGATCCAATATAAAGACCTTTGGGGAAGAGAACACGATTATTTTAACGTTGTACTAGAAAAGTCTGACCCATAATATACATTTCCTAAACTGCTGATAGTGGCCAGATTGAATATCGGTGGGTGGCAAGGGTAACGATAATTTTAGCTGTCAACGAAGTCGGTTATATTGAACTGCAGTATCCAGATATGAATCTAATAGATGACTTCATCAAACTGATTCCAAAGTGTCAGTATAGGTGTCATTCATTTTCAGTACTTTGAACGCCCCCAAATTCCATTCTTCCTCTCATACTGGCACAAAACCGAAAATGGTTTCCAGCCAGTAACAGTAACTGTGACATTTAGATTGCCCTCTAACGAAGCCGACAATGAGCCGTAGATTTAATAAGAAAGTGCTAGGTAAGTACCTGAAAGTAGTTATTAATTTTAAGATGTGACAACGGAACCCGTCAAACTGCCAATGAAGATTGCAAACATTGTGCATAGTAACAGCAAGTCTCGATGGTAAACAAACCATTCAGCCAACGACGACTACACGCTGGACATCCCAGTTGACACTTGCGGATGTTAGAAGCATCTTTAAGAAACTATAATTATAAGGGGATATTAGTAAGCTCGCTTAATTAACCATCACTCTCCATAGCGGAGACGGTTAGCTAACTCCAAAGTTATCTTTAGAAGTCATGATGCACAATGTTTTGAAACCTAAAATGGGCTCGAAGTTCACAAATCAGAGGACTATGACTAAGTCCAGTATTGTGTCTTATTATTATTATTGTATCCTTTAGTTCCTAGAGGAACATAGGGCTTCAGCTGCGCACCTCCATTGACTTCGGTTTTCTGACAACTTTTTCAACCTGCTCCAGGTCTGTCCACATGCTTTCATCTCCTCCTCGCATGACCTCCTCCAAGTCACCCTTGGACGACTTATACTTTCTATAAAATAATCCGATGCACAGTTCATTTGTGAAAATATTATTTATGTAGCCGTAATTAAAGCGGAGTTCCCTGGCAAACTCGTCTAGGAAGATTGGAGCTTTGATGGAAAAACCACAAAGTCTTACTTTCAAAACTTGAAAGGCCACGCCCAGAGGCGTATGAAGAAGTAAGGAAGTCGGGGAATATTATGAAACACCTACTTCATTTTAAGCTATGGCTTATTCAAGATGTAATAATAATGATTGACTGATTTCAACAGAGAACTTTACATAGAAGTGCAGCAGTTTGAGTTGTCACACCCTACGAAGCACACCAAGCCAGAGAGAGTAAAGAGAGGTTCAAAAGTGAGAATATTAAATAGAAGTATGAGGGAAAAAGAATACCAATGTGAAAGAACAATATTTTATGTTATGTTCCCTGTAATAGTAATTTTTCCTAGGCAACTGAAAGAAACAACTTAGGAGACAGTGGTAGTTATGTAAGTACACCTTTAAATGTAACTTAAAAATTTTCATGATCACATATACCTTAACTAATCTTAAATTTCATTTATTTGTAGGATGCTGGTCGTGGACCTTGACTGATTTACAGTAGAATTTTATCATCTGTTTTCAAACAAAATATTCCAAATAATTATTTGGATTATTAAATTGAATTCTTGATTTTCCCGTTGATTGATTGGACCGAAGTGCTCGGTCTCAGGTTGACATGTCGGCTTCTTGTGCAGATGCTTCGACGATGCCTGGGCATTTAGTTAGTATACAATTGGTGGATGGTGGCTAGCAGTGGAATCCAGGATGCACATTTCGTCCTAATTGGGACTCGTCAGCTGGATGTACCTGCATTTCTCAGTGAGTGATGATGTTCCCAAGTGGTCTAGTGGATAACGCTTTGGCGTTTGAAACTATGGGCACTGGGTTCGAGCCTCGGTGGGAACATCATCACTCACTGAGAAATGCAGGTACATCCAGCTGACGAGTCCCAATTAGGACGAAATGCGCATCCTGGATTCCACTGCTAGCCACCATCCACCAATTATTTGGATTTCTCAGGGAGGGGACTTTGGTGATGTATTCAGATAGTAAAAGTACATTTAATTGATTGTTAATATCAAAAGAGTTTATTATTTTAAATGATGCATTATTAATCACTAATTAAGATTCATTGTAACGCAGTTCTTAAAAGTTAACTGTCATTGGTTGAGGAAGTACATCTAAGTTACTCCCATTGGTTGACTTCTAGCCAATAACTGCTCACCAGGTTGCCCCGAAAAGTCTGCAATGCGCCCTAAGTTTTCCTCGGAATCTGCAATGTGCCCTAAGTCTGCCGCAAAAAGTCTGCAATTCGCTCAAAGTTTGCCCCAAGAAGTCTGCAATGCGCCCTAAGTCTGCCCCAAGAAGTCTGCAATGCGCCCGAAAAAAATGCTAGCTGGGAAGGAACTAGTAGACTCAATGAATTTCGAAATTATGATGCCGTAAATACTAATTAGCTCTGTTTGACATTTGTAATTATGCTGGCAGTAGCTATATAATGTGTTGAATATGCCTGTTACTAAGGAAATGCAGTAAGTGTGGAACTAGTGCTTGAAGAGCGAAAAAAATAGGTTTGGGAATACTGAATTAGTGCTAGTCAGTACTTCATTGGGGCTTGGCAACAGCAAAGAATATACGCAAAACGTCACTCAACTTTCGTGTTCATGAAAAAGACATTTTACGCGAAGATAAAGCACGCATTAAAAAAGATGAGTGACCTACCAGACTCAACAGCGTAGAGACACGCAGAGATTAACGTGACCTTGACCACTTGAAAATATCAAAGTATTTAAACTTTTCTGAAAGGGATAACAGGTCACGTAGAAACGTCTTTCATACCTTCAAATATCCTACATGTAGTAAGACTGTTCAAATACATAAAATTATGAAGAGATCAAATTTCGGAATCAGTTAATCAGCTGCATTTGAACAACTTAGCTACACAACGAACACAAACACGGTTTAACGGGAATAATATCTCAGTTACTAGGAAGGACTCGTGTGTATACGAAGAAATGTGGGAACTGATTTATGTTCAAGCTGTCAATTCACGTGTTGTGAACTGTTTTTGCTACAGTCATTGAGAGAGTTTCAAATGAATTCCTTCAACACCTGAGTCTCCACTTGTCATTGAATGATAGTTTGAAGCTCTTTTCTAGTAATTGGATGTGATTCCCCATCACACTGGAGGTCGCTTATGATAATTTTGCCTTTGTTCAAAACCTTTTTTTAAGTTAGTCATTTTCCCGTTGTAATCCTTAGTCGATACTCAGTTCTCGTATTTGTTCCATGTCCTCTGAGTCAATTTGGATTTTATAATCCGAATACTATATGTTTCACTTGAAAGCTGGCTGACCCTTTTCACATGAAAATATGTCAAGAGTTTTTCAGGGAATTCCCCAAGAAGCAACTCAGTATACTGAACCGCATTAACATATACAAGCTGAGTATCTGTGATGTGTATATAAGTAAACTGCGCCAATTTTACTTAAGTCTGTCGACCAACTTTATGTGTTAGTCTCTGCTAGAAACAAGCTTAACGATACCTAAGGAGCCCACGTTATATAAGTGCTATATCCAAAACCGAATGTATTTTTCCGTCCTGTAGTCTATGACGTCAAAACTCTTGACGAAATGGTAAAGTTATGAGCTGTATTTAGTCGGTTTCCTCGGGTCAAATGTACTTCTATTCAGCACCATCTTTCGGATCTATCGTCACCGTCTTTCCCGCAGAGGTCTGTCACTGCTATTGACATTTGGCGGACGTCCGATCCCCTGGTATATTCATGCCTGCTCCGTTTCCACTGAAGGTTGCATCCCCTACTATGACCAATTTGGGAATGGTGTGCTATCGGTATTCTGTACCTGCGCGAATCATCTTTCCATATTCTTTTGGAATTCAGCCGAATTCCTCACAATAATAATAATTTTATATTAACACATAAACATAAATGTACATGAAAATGCATCCACATATCCATACTTAACAAGTATCGTATTTTGGAAGTTAAATACAATATTCACTTTTGGAATCTTCTGATACCGCTTCTAAACACGTGGGAAAGCAGATTTGATCCCTAGTCTGTAATATTAAAGGAAAGTATAACATTTGATTTTCCATTATATAGCTGTTTATTGTTGTTTCTGATACTTCGATAATACAACAGTTGTCAAGGAAATTATCCCCAAGTTCCAATTGTTAGGAAGATGCTCCGCGCCGATAAAAAAATGTACTTACTTCGACTTTAAATACAAAACATCAATATTGTAAGAAGGAATTTATATTGTGTGGAAATTAAAGTGGAGAATAATACAAGTCTATAAATAAATCTTTTGCAAAAATTATCATGTTCTTTTATTAGCTATTGGTCTTCTTCGTCGAACTTATACACGATCGAAACACTCGCGAATTCGAGTTGCTCACCAATGGCTACCAGTTCCAAAAAGAAACGTTCAAAGTTCACCTTCATTGACACTCCCTGGAAAAAGGGTCCATCCTTCTTTTCCACAGAGATGATAAACTCTGTCAGCCACGTCTCGTACACCGTCAATGCCCAGCTCTTGCTACGCTGGGACTCACGCTGTTCCTTGAAGTTTCTCAGAAACGCTTAGTAATAACGGACGCGAAAACCAAAACACCGATTGGCTACTCGAGAATTCTTTATTGTAACACCAACATATAGCCAACTTTAAAACTAA